CCCCCCCCCCCCAAAGAGTGCTCAGGTCTGCCAGCCACCCGTCCTGCTCCCTACACTTTTCTGGGCTTCCAACCCTGCCTGCCACCTGTGCAGACTCCTCAGGGAGGGGTCAGCCTTCACAGAAAGCCTCAGCCATGGAACCATCACCCTAAAACGACAGGCACAGTTTTTGCTGGGAGTCAGATCATACTGACAGAAGTCGACCTTCCACACAGGGATGGCTTCAACACCAACAAACCAAGTTCCTGAGCAACCACTGTTCAAGTGCAATGCTCTGGTCAAGGGGATTCTGAGGGAGGCGCCAGGGCAGGAGGACGGCAGGGCAAGGATACTGCGCAGACAGCTGGGTGAGATGGGAGAGGTGCACTGCTTGTTGAGGGGCCTACATCATGACCCCACCTTGCAGAAGGGGTGGCCAAGGCAGAGGTGGTGACACTGAGCAATGGGAGGCTAGGCTCCTCACACCATGGAGGATGCTGCTCCAACACCTTCACCTGAGGCGCTACTCCACCTGCAGGGCTGCAAGTCTGCCATGGCGCTTGTGCCTCCCCTCTGCCGGATGCTCTGGGGATGGGGTGCACTCAAGCATCCCGCATAACCCCCGAGTTCTCCAGGCTGCTGTGCTGTCCTCGCCGATCCAACCCTGGAGCTTGGGCTGCTCTGCCTCTCACCTTGGGTCCCGGAGGAGCTGGGAGGGCTGGTGTGACAATTCTCAGGGTGGTGCTCTCTCAGCAGGCCAAAGCTGGCTGGCTCAGCCCATCCTCAAATACAAAAGCAGGCCAGGGCTGGGACACGGTGCAGGCTCCTCCATCTCGCTTGGCAGCACGGACACTTGGAGCGGGACAAGGCCACACGTGTGCAGGGAAAGGGAGCCGGCCCGGGCACTGTGACGCGCTGAACGGCGTCCCCGGACACCCCTTCCCCCACCCCGCCGGTGCCAGGAGCCCCCTACTTCCTGACAACCACAGGTGTGTCCCCGGGAAGGTTCAGCATGAACTCCAGGCGAGACACTGCTTTGCTGACACTAAGCAGAGAACCCTAAAAATGCAAAAAAAAAAAAAAAAAAAACAGCTCTGGAGGCAGGTATATCCTTATTCAAATGGCCCAAGCCTGGATCTGGGCAAGAAGGCCAGTCTAGAAAGCTCCCCAGGTGCTTCAAGAGGGGCCACCAGGTGTGGGAACCAGAAGCACGGGGCAGGCCTCGCATCTCGCTGGGGTTTCTGCAACCTCGAGAGAAAGACCCAGCTCCCAAGAAGAGCAGGGTTACAAGCACAGGAAGGACAGACCACGTCCCAGGCTGGGAGGAGGCACAGCAAGCCTGTTGATGCAGGACTGGGGGCGTCGCCACATACACGACCCATCTCCTTTGACTTTCCAGCGTTTTCCTGTGTGTTTAAAATGAACATTACTCTGAGTCCCCAAAAAAGCACTCTGAACAGAGATGACTTAGCTGGGATGGGACACTGCCTCTGAAGACAGGGGCTGCACAACCCACTGAATCTAGACCGCCCTCGTCCTGGCGTAAGAAAGGGATTCATGCTGCTCTGAAAACCCGCAGCACCTTTCCTCCACTCCCTCTTCACAGAAAAGTCAAGAACAATGGAACCACCCACTGGATGGCAGTGCAGGCTCCTCCCCTGGGAGGTGGCAAGCCTGGGTCCCCTGAGCCTGGTGCCCAGCTCCCTTGGCTGAGCTACACTTGTGCACACAGCTCCCCAGGAGTGGTGGGGAGGTGAGACTGATGACCAGAGGTCTTTTCCAGGGTGCTCCTGCCCCCAGGGAACACTGGGTGAAGTCTGGGGGCACCTGGCATCAAAGAGGTGAGGCCAGGGAGGCTGCTCCACCCTGCACAGAGCCCAGGATGTGCCCCCCCACGGCCCCCTACCAGTTTCTGGTATTATTCTTGGCTCCACCCTCTCCTGACGAAGTCTGAGGCCCTTGACAAGCCTGACCCAAGACCACACCTGGCAGCAAGCTAGGGAAGCCCTAGGGGTCGTCAAGTACCCAGCCAGACCTTCAGATACACAGGCGACACTGCTCTCTGCTGGGCTTTCTCTCCCAGCAAAGGGAGGAAAGGGTGTGTATGGCTCACTCAGGAAGAGAAAGCACCAGAGGAACACTTTGCTTCTGTCTCTGAGCACGGCCATCAGGGCAGTGGGGAGTCATGCCCTCGTGAATCCTGCTGGCCCCCAGCCCATAGGGAAGGCAGCGAAGGGCTACTGCCCCTTCGGAAGCACGCACTTCTCTGGCTGCACCCTCCCTTCCCACCTGACTCCTGGCCCTTAGCTTCCCTTAAGAAGCAAGGCTTGCGCTCAGAACACCAGACCACAAGGGTCCCCCAGGGACCTCACAAGGGTCCCCCATGTGAGACCCAGGGGAGCTGCCACCACCACCAGCTGGGGCCACCCTGCCTTCCAGCACGAGCCAGGGCTTCCTCCGGCCAGTCTTCGGGAGATTTCAGTGCTCAGGCCCTCCTGCAGGATGGGTGAGGCCCTTCCCCGCGTCTCACTGCTGCCTCTCAGCCTCGGGACACAGCACGGAGCCCGCACGTGACGGGCACCCAGGTGCCCAGCAGCAGGAAGTGAGGCGGCAAGGGCCTGACCACACTGATCTGACCCCATGAGGCGCACTTACCGACCATGTGTACACAGGTGCATGGCTTCCCCTCTCTGGGCCCGTCTCCTTGTCTGTAAAATCGGGACAATTGTCCCTCCCACCGGTTAAGGGTCGTGAATAAAGAGCATGCCTCAGGGTGCATGGCAGTAACTGGGCAACCCCAGCGGAGCATGGGGGTGGGGACCCTGGAGCACAGGAGGGCGGATCTAAGGGCCAGAAAGACTGGAATGGGCCCTACATGGGCCTCAGGGGGCCGGCAGACCAAGGCCGGAGGTGCTGGAACCCCTACATCCCGCCTGCAGGCAGTCAGTACCATCTGTACCCCTGCTCAGCCCACCCTGGCCAAGCATCTGCTCTTGGGCCATGTCAGTCTGCTCACGGGGACTCAGACAAAGTCTGGCCTGTGCTGCAGCCTCTGCAAGCCCCACAGGAAGTGTGCCTGTAAAAGTCCAGAGCAAGGGGGAGCTGAAAGGTGCAGGGGCAGGGGGTGGGGGGGGAGGCACACCTGAGCACGCCACAGAGGAGGAAACAGCATCAGAGAGGCCCCACAGCAAGACGGAGGCTGAGCTGCAGGAAGAGACCCACCCCCACCCCGCAGAGGAGAAGAGGACTGCTTTTTCTCACCTGCAAAAGGAAAATGCAGACACTGGGGTCAGGGGTAGGCAGCTGCACTTTTTCCTGCGGGAAAGTGAAGCAGACAGGACCACATCACCAATGGGTTCTCAAAAATGACACTTTGGGAAACTGGCCATTTGTGATGGAGGAAGACATCAAGAGACCAATAAACTAGGAAGAATACACGAAGAGATAAATCAGCGCTCTCAGACAGCTGGAAGTCAACCTGTGGGCCTGCAGACGAGTCGCTGCCCAGGGTCTGAGGGAGCCGGCCTGTGCCGTTTGTCCATCCCCTAAACATCAGGGGCTATCTACAGAACACCATGCAGACTGCACCAGCATGTCAAAAGATGCAGCGAGAAAGTGCA